GGTTTGATGATCAGTTCAATTCTAATAACATTGACAATAAGTACACTTCCACCTAGAGTGATACCACGGCCGAAATGATCACCACAAATCAATTATTATGTCTTGTGCATAGATCACTATGACTGACTGGATTAGGGTTGAGTTCACCACCACGTTTGTCACGGCCAGTACCTCAACCAACAAGATTGACACTATTAGGTGGACCACGTCCACCACCGCGACCACTACCAAAGCCACCATGCAAGTTCGCCATTAAAAAAAAAACTATTCAATAATTTGAACTAATAATCTACAAACAATCCTAAATCACACAGCTATTCGAGGTCATATTAAGATGCTTAACACCGAAACCAAGCACAAACACCTCCTATAGTCTTTGTAGAAGCATTAAAGACAATCACAAGGAAAATAGTACTCAAAGAATGTTAACCATAGCTTGAAAAAATAACAAACCAGCAAGAGAATAGGCAGAACTGTGAGTTACAAGCACCTGAACCTTGTGGAACCAGTCCTAAAAGCACTGAAACGGACTGAATATCAAGGAAACTCACTGAACCGGACTGATCTTCACTAAACCGTTGCAAAGGATTACTGAACTGGACTGAGTATCATGCTACGAAGCACGGATACTTCGTCAAGGTCGACGTACCCGTATCGGATACGATACTCATCAGATACTCGATGATACGTATCGAATACGCATCATCCGTACCCGATAATTAATAAAATATGTGGATACTTCTAAACTTGTAGTAAGATGTACAATTTTCAATTTTAAGTTATACACCTTCTTGGGAGTTTACATACAATATCAACCATCAACAAAATTCCATTTGATTTTGAAGACACGAATGTTTTTTAAATATTATCTATTATTAAATGTTAAGAGAGTATAAACAAAATGAGTCACTTACATTATACTTTTTAAAAATAAATACTTGTAAAACCAACTAGTTAAATGTGGTTATGATTACTTCAATTGGTCATGCTCATTTTAACATATCATAATGAGACGGTATTACATCCTTTTTCATGGTAAAAATTCATAATTTTACTTACTAATGTTAAAAAATTATTAAAAAATTGTAATTTCTAAGTCGTTAAATAATAGCAAAATATAAAATATATTTTATTATAGATGTATCATGTCCGTACCTGTATCCTATTTTTTTAAGTTTTGTCGTGTCGCCGTATCCGTATCATATTGTACCCGTGTCACGCATCCGTATTCGTATCCGTACTTCCTAGGTATCATGAAATCAACCCAAAAAAAACCTGAAACCTCGGAAACACTGTTAGATAATGAACCGGTCCAGAGGATAAAAACAGAGGTGAACCAGAACAAAAAATCACTTGAACCGGGTTAAATCGATCTGACCTATACCTGATCTGGGCTAGTCCAGCTAGGGCTGAGCTATCTGAGTCACAATACGGGCCTAAAAAAACATTGGGCCTGTCTTGGACAGGAGGAAGTGGGCTTCATCTTCCAATTGGCCTTGATCTTATTTGTTGGGCTTATTTATGCAGATGGGTTTAATTAGCCAACCAGGTTGGATCTCAAACTAGCTTATGCTATAACCCAAAACCAGTCGAGAGGTTTGCCTACAACGCATACTTGCCTGGAAACCCTATGTAGCGACGGCTCTATTAGGTTAACAGAGAAAACCGATCATGACCAGCGACTAATAATCTAGCAACTAAAACTGCTGGAGAATACAACAACAGCTCACCCAAACAACAATTCCAACCATCTACACCAAAATGAATAACCACAATGAAGCTCCGATATTACTCAATCAAAGCTTCCTTGTTTCAACTTTTTGCTGCTGCAATAAAGACCAGAAAAAAAAAAGGAGAAAAAGGAAAAAAAATAAAGATAAAGCATGTATTCAAACCCTAGTCAAAAAGCTCTGATACCAATTAAAGATTTAAATAATTAATAATCAAATATTAGGATTTAGATTTAGGAGGAAGAGAAGAGAACTAAGAGTGAGAGAGAGAAATTGAGGAAAATAATGTGTGTATGCTAATGTCGCTCCACGCCTTCTTATAGTAAATTACAATATTACCCAACATGATTAATATTACTAAGAACTCTAACAGCCATAATTAAAACCTCTGGCTCTGAGTCAGATTCTTGACTTTCATGCCCCCACGCAGAGGCAAATCAATTTTTGGCTTTGGCTCTAAGTTAGAGTCACGCCAGACCTGCCCTCTTTAATAACCTCATGCGTTAGAGGCACTTCTGATGAACAAATTTTGACCCTATATTGCTACTTTTGGGGTCTTCACTGGGCATGCCAAAATATATGTTTAGTATATTTTCGGATTTCAGGGGTGCAAAAGTCTAAATAGACTTAAGATCCAAATACGTATGACTTTACCTATTCAAATCAGTGTGAAGTTCTACAATCGTAACCACTCAGACGCAAGGTTACCTCTTAATTCTTTTCTATGCCTTTGAAATGAAGGACTTAAATCATTTCTAAACTTGTAACGTAATGGACTAGAACATAGAAAGACAACTTAAATGTAAAATAGCACAGAAACCAAACTTGGAAAATGAAAAAATTATTGTACTTAACATTAAATGAAAAAAGGTAAAGATCGCCGAAGTGATGAATTACAGATAAAAGTAAAATTGTTGAAAAGTAAAAATAAGTAATTAGGATAGAGGCTAACTATGTGTAAAGTTATTGTGTTTGATCGAGAATCATTTCTCTGTTGCCTTGCCTTTGTTATTTATAGAAGATGACCTTCAATCGTCGAAGCCATCTTTTCCGGTCATGCCTGTAATTATGGCCCCTTCCTTTGAGATGTGCAGACATGCATTGAACAATTTTCAACTGACGACTCATGATGTTACGTTTCCTTATTTCTCGGGATTTTTACAATTTCACTTCCTAAACCAGCTTGCCAAGTGTAGATTCTAACCGACTCTTTCATGACTGTCAGATTGTTTTCACGTGTCACCCTTATATTTTACTATTTTTTGGGTGCAAACTGGTTCATATCTCATTAATCTGCAATTTATATTCTGTACATTTTTTATATGTGAGCTCAAATTTTCTTTTTCGTTTTTCTTTTTGCACCAATAAGAAAAATAGATCCAAAATCAAAATGAAGAGAAACAAACGAAATTGAAAGGTCCATCCATCAATTTTAGCGTAATGCTGCTGTAAACAGAAATTCTATACGAACTGATGTAGCTCTAAAGTTGCACATAAATTATTTTTAACAATAGTTTTATATTTATCATATCGGTATATAGCTTAATTTATTTAAAATAAGAATATTATCAAAAATTGCCTCAAAATGTGATTTTTGTAATTTATGGGTCGTATTTTATAGTTTAATTGTAAATATGATAAAATACATTGGCCACATACTCACACATACCTATCATAATAATCTCCTCTTTAAAAGTTTAAAGATAATTAATGATCAAACCAATTTGGTATAGTTTAATTAGCAACCCTTCGATCTCTTAAAACTAAATCAGCTAAGATGTCAAGCAGGCAATTCTTTCCAAATGTAAGACTTAGTTTTTTATGTCGCCCTTTTTTAGGATCCTATTATGTCCTCTTTCAAAATTTTCTTTAACTCTTTATAAATTCCTTGTTCTTTTATATAGATGCATTGTGTTAAACCTATAACATTGATTTATCAAATACATACTCATATTAAATGAATACTCAATTTTATTTATCAACAATATTTTTTAATGTGAAGTTATCACTTGACACATTTGTACATATGTATGTTGCACGTGGACAAGTTTAATTAATAGTGGTGATGTTATTTCTTATCATTATGTTGAAATAATTAAATATTCACTTACGAATCAAAGTATATGCCCTTTGATATTTGTTGCCTAGATATATTATTTGTTGTTACGTGTTCCAGCCACAATAATCTTCTAAAAAGTTAGACTACATGCTAAATTGATTACTTCAAGATTGATTGATCACCCACGGATATTGGAAGGCTAATTGAGACTATACGTTTTTGTGTTATAAATCGACTACACTTGCTAAGAGTTAATAATCATTGGTTGCATGAATCATGATGATACAAACTTTGCAAGAGAAAAGTTTCATAAAATCACCATAAAATATATTATATTTTTATAATAGAACACAAGATAACAGGATAATCAAGTAAATCATCATAACACGCTTTCAAATATAGATTAAGAGCAAAATGCAACTTTAAGTCCCATACAAACTAATAGATAGAAGACGTACATGTTTTAGCTACAAATACTTGTTTCTTCTGCAATATTTATCTCGAGGGATTAGAATTTTGGGAATTCTCCAGCACTAACTTATCTATAGTTAAAAAAATTTAATTCTAGATTTGTTGTTAAATTTATCTAAATATATAAGATATTAGTACCTGATGGAAAGTTCAAAAGTCAAATTTTTAAAGGGCTTGACTCCATATAAATTTCATAAGTCATTGTTATAACTTGATATTTACTCTCGAGAACTCTTAGGACTTGTTTACACTATTTCTTGAATCTGTATGGTCCACAATTTAGATAAGTTACAACGCATATTATACAAATGAAAAATTTTAGTTTTATATTATAAATCCACAAAAAAAAAAAAAAGAGAGAGCTAAATCAATTAGAGTAATCTTTGGATTAAGGATAATATTGATTTTATATTATTGTTAAATCACAGTTACGAAATTATAATATAGACTTTATTAATTTTTGTTAGGATAAAATTAGAAAATAATTTTTTTTATTAGTGACTTTTATGAATTATATATTGGTAATCATTGAATTTATAGGTTTCTTTAAGGTACACACAATGTCAAATTTTTATGATTTAAGCCATAAGTGTTCATATATTTATTTAAGGACAAAATCGAAACTCAAAAGTTTTAAATGAAATTATTATTTTGAGGTATAATTGTTCTTATAATTTTGTTTACAGATAGAAACTCAAAAGTTTAAAATGAAATTATTAGTGTAAGGTATAATTGTTCTTATAATTTTGTTTAAGTGCAGAAGAGGAATTCAAAAATTTTTCATCTAAGGTACTTTTATTAGTAGTATAGATATAGATCCCACAACCACACTGCTCCGTATAAAGATTATTCTTAGAGCTATGTTTATGAAGCATTTGCCTTTCCTTCTTGTCAAATTGCTTTTTTAATCACTTCCTTAAATGGAAAGGGAAAGCACAGAGCACCTTCTAGTTAATGCAAAGGATTTGTCTACTTCTAATCCTTGAAATATGCAATCACATTGCGTATAATTCTAGTGTACAATGATCAAATTTTCCTTGACAAATTTCCTAATAAGCGTCGCTTCTCTATAAGTAAGAACTTCAATATGCGAATGCGAATGCCCAAAACACATAGAACTTTTTCATTTTTCTAGTATTTCTAATATAATTGCACTTGACGTCATGCGTGAGACAAATATCTAATCTCCGACAATGACTTATATTAAATTTAGTAAAGCTTTTCAATGCTAGTAGGAATGCAATTATTTGAATAAAAAAATGCAAATTTAAAATTAAGTGGTTATGATTTGAACCTGAGCAACCCATTCGACTGCGGGGGCCATTAAACGGCAAGGACCACACCAATTGGCCACGAACTCAACGAGGACCGGACGGTCTGACCTCAAAACCACGTCGGGGAACTGACTCTCATTGACTTCCGTAACTCCACAAGTTATCGATGCTGTCCGAATCGAAGAAAAGGAACCACTAAACTTCAACCCCGATTTTCTTCGATTCTGAAGTCGGAATGAAAGATTGCGAAACTTAGAGTTACAAGTAACTGTACGAGCAGGAGGGACCGGTAAACTGTACAGAAGAGTTGAGTTTGAGACCAGTGTCTCCATGGCGGAGTTCGGTGTGTCTGAGAGAAACAGAGTAGGAGAGAGATGAACGAAAGTTCTCTTCTGTGATACGATATTAGCGTTACTCCTAATTTGTGGCTATTATGAAAGAGTGTGGTTCGACGGCGGAGCCTATCGCTTGTTCATTTAAGGGCAAATCTCAACTTGGACCCTGAAATATCATTCAATTTTTATTTGTACACGTAAAGATTAAAAATATTAATTTATATTGTAGAATATATAAATATGTATTAATGTGTACGTGAGACTAACTGTTATCTATTTTGTTATTAAAAAAGTTTGAGTTAATATAAATTGTACCCCTCAAAATTTAAATATTTCACATTTATGACTCAAAAAATATTTTATCCATTAATACTCGCTAAATAGCTCTTAATTTTATCGTATCATAGCATTTTCATGTCCTGTTCAAGTCAATAAAAAAATATTTTTAACAAAAAAAAATTTCGTGTCCAGTCATTTATATTGTGTCTTTTATTTCACATTTACGACAATTCATATAATACTATTTAATATTTTTTTAAAATTAAAAAACACTAATTTTTTGTCAATAATACTTGTTAAATAATTATTGTTATTCGTATTTAACTTTAATTTGATCGGACAATCAAAATATTTGTGTCTAACTGTAAACAGAAAATAATCATTTTAATGAGTATTGTAAGCAAAAAAAATAGGTATTTTATAATTTTTTTAAAATTTTGAAACATATTTTCTTATTGACTTAAACACGATACGAAGATATTATGATATGATACAAATTAGAGTAATTTACCGAGTATTAATTGATGAAATTCTTTTTGGATCATAAATATGAAATATTTAAACTTGGAGAGTATAATTTATAATTAACCCAATTTGTTTAACAGAAAAATGGACAGAGTTAATTTCAAATGCATATTGATACGAATTTATATCTTTTAGGATATAAATTGATATTTTTAAATTTTGAGAATGTAAATTAAGATTTAAGTGATCTTTCGAGGTACAAGTTAAGATTAGCCTTTCATTTAATTAAGGATAAATTATATTGGCACCCCTTGTAGATTGGAATAATTATAAAGAGACCTTCTTAATTTTTTGAAATTACACTAATATACCTTATTGTTTACCTATCTATTTGACAAAGTACCCTTATGATTAGCAACGTTATTGGCAATGTCAAAAAAAAATGATTACTTCATCAAGTTTTTATACTTTAATTCTCATATTACTCCTAAACAAAATTAGGCTAACCTGTTTATTTTTATGTCATGTTCGCATTCGCATTTTTTTGTGTATTTTTTTTATATAATGTGGAATCTCTCTAAGGTGAGGTCACTTTGGTACAATCCCTGTGAAAATAAACCCTAGATATCTACAATCATTTACAAACTGCAAGCATCGGTTAAACCTGAGAGATACCAGTGAAAGTCGAATCTCTCACGTCCGGGTCTACAGTTTCTCTGCGTTCAACTCCAAGCTAATAGGCTACCCCATGCGGGTTTGTTTGTATTTTTATTGACCCATAGAAATTTTGAATAAAAAAATTTAAATCTAAGATTTTATTATCACTTAATTGAATACATACTCATAATTTTTCTATAAAATAAAAATTAACTTAATAAACATGACAATAATAATTAATATTTTTTTATAATACCAGTTAAACATATTGATTGTGTTAATTTCAAATTATTTGTGTTAACATACCAACGAAAAGATAAAGGAAGTTGAACATGATTAAATAAATGGGTTAATCGTGTTAATTTTAGGTTTGATTGGTTGAACCTGAAAAATGACGCATTTATTAGTATTTAAATATATAAAAGGATGATAAGTAAAAAAATTATGTATGGTAAGGGTAATTATGAAAAATCATATTTTTTGTTATATTTGTTAAGGGACAAACCTAACAGGGTGTGTGAGCATAATTTTAAAAAATGAAAGGGGGCTCTTATAATTAGACCAATCTATAGGGATGTTAGTGCAATTTACCCTTTGATTAATGAAAAATTAAACTTAGATTTGATTCGTGGTAATATTTTTTAGTAAGAATGAAATAGACATAAAAATNATTTACCGAGTATTAATTGATGAAATTCTTTTTGGATCATAAATATGAAATATTTAAACTTGGAGAGTATAATTTATAATTAACCCAATTTGTTTAACAGAAAAATGGACAGAGTTAATTTCAAATGCATATTGATACGAATTTATATCTTTTAGGATATAAATTGATATTTTTAAATTTTGAGAATGTAAATTAAGATTTAAGTGATCTTTCGAGGTACAAGTTAAGATTAGCCTTTCATTTAATTAAGGATAAATTATATTGGCACCCCTTGTAGATTGGAATAATTATAAAGAGACCTTCTTAATTTTTTGAAATTACACTAATATACCTTATTGTTTACCTATCTATTTGACAAAGTACCCTTATGATTAGCAACGTTATTGGCAATGTCAAAAAAAAATGATTACTTCATCAAGTTTTTATACTTTAATTCTCATATTACTCCTAAACAAAATTAGGCTAACCTGTTTATTTTTATGTCATGTTCGCATTCGCATTTTTTTGTGTATTTTTTTTATATAATGTGGAATCTCTCTAAGGTGAGGTCACTTTGGTACAATCCCTGTGAAAATAAACCCTAGATATCTACAATCATTTACAAACTGCAAGCATCGGTTAAACCTGAGAGATACCAGTGAAAGTCGAATCTCTCACGTCCGGGTCTACAGTTTCTCTGCGTTCAACTCCAAGCTAATAGGCTACCCCATGCGGGTTTGTTTGTATTTTTATTGACCCATAGAAATTTTGAATAAAAAAATTTAAATCTAAGATTTTATTATCACTTAATTGAATACATACTCATAATTTTTCTATAAAATAAAAATTAACTTAATAAACATGACAATAATAATTAATATTTTTTTATAATACCAGTTAAACATATTGATTGTGTTAATTTCAAATTATTTGTGTTAACATACCAACGAAAAGATAAAGGAAGTTGAACATGATTAAATAAATGGGTTAATCGTGTTAATTTTAGGTTTGATTGGTTGAACCTGAAAAATGACGCATTTATTAGTATTTAAATATATAAAAGGATGATAAGTAAAAAAATTATGTATGGTAAGGGTAATTATGAAAAATCATATTTTTTGTTATATTTGTTAAGGGACAAACCTAACAGGGTGTGTGAGCATAATTTTAAAAAATGAAAGGGGGCTCTTATAATTAGACCAATCTATAGGGATGTTAGTGCAATTTACCCTTTGATTAATGAAAAATTAAACTTAGATTTGATTCGTGGTAATATTTTTTAGTAAGAATGAAATAGACATAAAAATTGAATGAGCTTGGGAATACAATATAGTTCATATTTTCATTTTAATGTTTGCCAATTAATAAAAATTGAGTCGTAGAATGGAATGCGCATTCCATTCCAAAGTTTGGATAAAATAATTTTTATTAGAATGGAATGACCAATGGTACGAATAAACACAGTTGTCTCCTTAAATCTCCAGACTAATGAGCGATGCAACACTCATTAACCCTTCAAATACCACCTCATCCATGCTGCTGCTTCTTTTCTGTGGCCTCACATTCCCAATCTACTCAAGCATTGATGTCTGCATGAATAACATGGATGTAATAATGTCATCTGATCCATATGCAACTTGCTCATGTTCATTATTTCTTTTTTCTCTCTCGAATTCCTACAACACATCAGCGGGGGCTTGTGCCTGTATACCAGTGGTCCGATTCTTTCTAAATATTTTACACAAATCCTCATAAAAAGGAAAATATTTGTATCTGAACTTTTCTTCTCCTTTTATTGCTCGATAAAAAAAATGAACAATGCTACAGGGACCTTATTTAGGGACTTTATTTAGGAATCTAATGATGTTGTTTCATTGCAACCATTGAATTAGTTGTGTGTTCTAATATTAGATAGAGTCCACAACCAATCCAATAGTTGTACATCATTAGATCTTTAAATAAGGTTCTCAAATAAGGTCTAAATAGCATTGCCCTAATAAAAATAGATACAATACGTAAACCCCAACATTCTAATACTACCAGTGTTCATGAACCGATGATATTTAAAGACTACTAGTTGCAATAACAATAAAATTAATATATTGTCTCCTCATCTTTATATCAAAAATAAAAATAAAAATGTAAACCTCATGCGATAAAATTGAATTAAACTCGAAGAATGCTACATTACGACTAATCATCTAACCCAAATAACATTGTAGCTTGAATTTAATCGTCCAAATAGCATTATTGTCACATAAATAGTACCTTAGCACATAAGTGCCCAAAATACAAAAAACAACAAACCCTCTACATGATATTGATAATATGATCGAGGATGTGCAAATAGAACAACTGCATGGCATTAAGTTGTGCAAGTACATAGATTGTTATGCACTTAAAATGACAACAAACAACATCCCCTACACTCAAAATTTGTGTTGGACCAAATCCGGCGTTCCTTTCTCAATCCGTTGATCACCCACCAACCCATGAAAATACCTGTGAATTTCGCATAACTCGACACCACGTCATCACATCCCCTTAACCAAGATTATAACCAAAACAGAGTTTGGACAGAGTCTCCCTTGTATCAGAGCACTTTCAAACACATAACATGTGCACGTACATATCACTTGACCATTCTAAGGTCCATCTCCATCAATTAGAACTTCATGTTTGACCAATTGCAACATATAAATAAGAGAGATCAAGATTTGAAGGCTTGTCAAAGTTATATTTAATTTTTTTTGAAAATTTTGAAAGAGGTATCGGTACTTAAGTCTTCTGTTTGCCAGGTCCATTCCATTTGCCAAGTACCACTATTTGATCACCCAGGTATCGGTACCTAATCTCACTGTTTGCTAGGTTCTGGTACCTATATGTTGTGGTATTGGTACCTGAGCCCACTCTCCATCGAAGTACCGGTACCTGAGCCCATTGGAAT